ACGAATCATAGGTCTTTATAATATTGTACTCCCTCCGCGTGCGAGGCTGGTGCGCTGCCCGCGCGGCGCTCCACCGGTCGCAGCGCGCCAGCCTCGCCCGCCACGCCATGCCAGCAGCCGGGCGCGCGCGGGAGAGGTGCAGAGCTGGCGCGTGGCGGGTCATGGTCGCCGAGATCTGGACGCGCAGGACCGCCCGGACGGCGAGGCTCGAGCGAGCGCCTGTGTGGAGGTCGAACGGCGTGTGGGAGGGCGGTGGGCCGCGAGAGAGTCGCGCAGCCCCGCGTGTGTGGACCGGTGGCGCTTCGGGTGGCGTATCGGGCCGTCAGAGGCAGATACGTGGCGCAGCGAGTGCGAATACATGCAATAATTTGCACGCACCGTGCCGAGCCGACCCGCGTGCACGATCGGAGCACCTCAAGGCGGCGCGAGAGGCGGTGTGTCGAGGTGCCGCGGCCCGCGGCTGCAGCGTGTCGAAACGGCGCTCTCGGAGGCGCCGCGGTGGCGGCCGAGCGCGCGGGATCGGCGAGAAAATTTGACGGCGTGCCGGCCGTGGGCCCGGACGAAGGTCCTGGCTCGAAAACGCGAGCAGAGGCCGCCGTGTGGGGCCACGGCGAGCCTCGGCGAGAAAGGTCAGCACCCTATCTCACGCCATCGGTTGGCTAGAGGAGCACGAACGAGAGCGCGCGACGAGCTCGCTCGTGTCGTGCGCTCCTCCTTTCTGATGCTGCTCGCCGCCACCCTCGCGGCCACGCTCGCGGTGGCTGGTGGCTCGCGGTCCGTCCGCGCGCCTGCGCCTCGCTGCGCTGCGGCTGCGGCCTCCGAGACGCTGAGCCGGCACGAGCTGCGTGAGCGGCGGCGGCGAACGCGGCTTCTGGCGGCGGAGCTGAGTGCGCTCGATGTGCAGGGGTCGGTCGCGGTCGAATATGCAGAGTGCCTCACCGCCAAGGGCATACACTCCGCCGCTGACATTTGCGGCGTCGATCAAGGCTCCCGAGCGAGAGGAGATTCGAGAGTCTTCAGTCTGCGTGGCACACGCGGAGACCGCTGTCCCGGCAGGTGTGCTCGAGGCGTGCTCGATCCACGGCCTGGACCGGCAGCGGCTGCTCGCCTTCTCGCGGCTCGCCGCTCTCGAGCAGACGGCGCCCGCCCCCACCTCCGCCTCCGCCTCCTCGCCGGCCGACGGGGATGCGGGCAGCGTCGGGGATGCGGGCAGCGACCCTAACCCGCGCTGCGAGGGCGAGGGCGGCGGTGACACGCTCGAGCTCTCGGTGCCCGACTCGCTCGACGGCTCGCGCGTCGACGCTGCGCTCGCGGCGCTGCTGCCTCCCCTCTCTCGAAGCTACTTTGGCGGCCTCGCTGCCGACGGCCACGTCCTCGTCGGGGGCGGTCGGGTGAAGAAGGTGGCTGGGCGGGCGCTGCTGCGGCGGCTGCGGCGGAAGCGCTCGAGGCGGCCTGTGCCTGCGATTAGGCGCGTGCTGTCTCCCCTCCCAACCTCGAGCAAGCGAGACCCCTCGGCTCACCTCAGCGGGCCGGTGCGGGCCTGCGTGGGGTTGCAGGCGGCGCGCGTCTGCGCGGGCGACTCGCTGAAGGTGTGGCTGCGCGCGGAGCGGGAGCTGAGCTTGGTGCCGGAGCCGCTCCCCCTCGA